CTGGTTTGTGTGTATGTTCTTGCAGGTGTGGCACCTTATAACCTGTGGCTTGCTGAAACAAGCTGCCTGGCTGAGATTGTAACCAACATCCTGGGCATGGATGAAATAAATCTTAAAAGCCCTATAGACCCTTGAACCCAGGGCACTGTCCTCACAGCCCTGGCTACTCAAGGTATGGTCTTCCACCAGCAGCAGCAGCAGCATCTGGGAGCCTGTCCATACCATTTGTGCTCAAGTCAAGTGTGCAGGACTGGCAACAGTGGCTTCATCTGAGAGTATGTAGGAAACTCAGAATTTCAGGTCCAACCTGAAGACCTAGTGGATGATAATGCAATTTAACAAGTATACATGTTAAAATTTGAGAAGCACTGTTGTATTAGTTTTCTGGGGCTTCCTTAGCAAAGTACTGCAAACTGGATGGCTTAAAACAACAGAAATTTATTCTCTCATAGTTCTGGAGACTTGAAGTCTGAAATCAAGGTGTCAGCAGCGTTGGTTTCTTCTGACAGGTGATGAAGAATCCGTACCATGTCTGTCTTCTAGCCTTGAATCCTAGCTTTCCTAGGATTGCAATCCTCGGCATTCCTTGGTTTGTAGATGCAACACTCAAATTTCTGCCTCTATCACCACATGGCTTTTTCCCTGTTTCTGTGTTTCCCACTTCATATAAGGAAGGGCCCACCCTACTCCAGGATGACCTTATCTTAACTTATCACATTTGAAATGACCCAACTTCCAAATAAGATTACATTCTAGGGTATGAAGCTTAGGACTTTAACACATCTTTTTTTTGGGGGGGGGGTTGGGGGAACACAATTTAATCCATTACAACTGCCTTCAAAGTTTGTTATTCCTAAATGCTGGGAGACTAGCTGATGAAGAAGTACCTGGAATAGTTTTGTAAATTTAATTTTGTAAAAAAACATTTTTATAAATTCTGGAAGAAGATGGCTGGTCTAGACAGAGCTTGGGATGCCCATTTTTGCAAGGTGATCTTGTTCAGGCAGCAGATCCCCAGGATCCTCAGCTTTACAGACCACCCAGCCCCAGTACAGGGCCAACGTGCCAGCAGTCTGGGGAAATTCTCCATCAGGCTACCCAACGGAATCACCTGGAGAGACTTAAAACTATGGATACCTAAATTCAACCCTTAGAGTCTAGGGTAAGTGTTCTCTCCTATTGCCTGGGCATCAAGAGTCTAAAACATTTCCCAAGTGATTCTAATCTGCAGCCAAATTTGAGCCAAATTACATGGAACAGATGTTCTCATTTCTACATATTACAAAAGAAGATGATCTAGTCCCTTCCACAGATAGGGAAGCAGGACATAAGCACAAATAATCCCAAATAGGAACATACACAGATTCCTAAATAATGCATTTTAGGTTTTTTACTGTTCTTACGTGCAAAAGGAGGCTACTGTGAGAAGTAAATAAATGTATATATGTAGCACCATTCTCAAAATCTCCCATGATGGCATACTTATTTATTTCCTTCTTTGTAGTTTTGCCAATTTCTGAAGTACATTTTGAGGCACTTTTTGGTGCCTTATAAATTTAAAATTATTATCTTCTTGGTCAATGACTCCTTTATCCTAATGCGTTATTTCCTTTTTCCTCGTCATGCTTTTTACCTAGAAGTCTATTTTTGCCCCGATGTTAGTACAACTACATTGGCTAGCTTTCTTCTCCCCAGTAGTTACATGGTATGTATATACATATTTCTGTTAACTTTCAAACTCTCTATATTCTTATGTTATAGATGAATCTCTTGAATGGAATATAGTTGGATCTTTAAAAATAAATCCACTCCAACAATCTTGCTGTAGATGCTCTATAAATTAGCGCATTTAGTTCATTTACTTTTAATGTAATTACTGATGTATATTGGTGATATAAATATTTAGCAACTTGTAGGGTACTTTGAGGAAGTTGCAGTTCTTACAAGTGTCCATGAGAGGGCGACTCTAGGGGACACGCAGCCAAACAGCCCTGAAGGGACAAAGGCAACAAGGCATTTGCTCTCTGGGGTTCCACTACTGCTGCCAAGGTTGTATCTCCCCTACAATGTCTGGGCATCTTCTGATCATGGGAGAAATAAGGATATGGGATGGGGGACAGAAGTGTGGTGAACTGGGGGACAAAAAAGCAGTCCAGTGGCCATGCCCATCCATGGGGTAAGGGTGGGCAGAGGCTGTTTATCAACTTGTATAGAAAGAATTTTCAATATTTAGTAATCATTACTGCTGTACACACAATTTAGAGCATCAGCCTGTTTATATATAGATTTAAGTCTATCATCTTATTTTGTGTTATTTATCACACCTGTTCTATGTTGGTTTTTCTCTCTTTTCTTCATTTCTACTTTTCTCTCTCATAATTTTTAAGAACAAATTCTGTTTTCTATTTTAAGCAATTACCATAGAGATTACATTTTATTTTTCTTTAATTCTTTAATTTTCACCTTTAACTTTTCAAAGCCCATTATTAATCATTGACTATTATCAATACATTGGCTTTCCTCCTTGACAACACAAGGGCCTTCAATTTAGCTGCAGCCCCTACTAACTTACTGTTATGTATTTTAATCCTTCATGTATTTTTTAAATACACAAGACATCATTATTATCATTATTATAGTTTTTTGAAGACCATGTTTATAAGCATTTCCACCTTCTTTGCTCTTCATATCTTCTTGCTGCTCTATATAATTTTGTGATCATTTTCCTTTTGCCTCAAGGACTTATTTTACAATTTCCCTTAGTGACAGGCTTCTCTTTGTAAATGTTTTTATTTTGCCTTCATAAAATACAGTTCAGTACATTGAAGGTATTGTTCCACCCCTACTGCCTGGGAGCCAACTGTCAGTCTGTTACTCCAATCAAGTAATCTACCTTTTTCCTCTGGCTACTTTTTATTTTTCTTCATATTTCTACACTTAATACTATTGTATTTTGGTGTAGAATTCTTTTTATTAATACTGCTTGAAATTTGTTAAGCTTCTGCTTTTGGTGGTTTGGTATCTTCCTGAAATACTCTCAGGCATCACTTCTTAATACACTGCCTCTGGTCCATTCTCTTTTCCCTCTCTTCTTGAAACTCTGGTTAAATGAATGTTAGACCTTCTCAGGAAATATAACCATCTCTTCTGCATTTCTGAGCTTTTTCTCTCTGTGCTTCTTTTGGGATCATTTCTTCAGCTCTACCTTTCACTTCATTAATAGCTTTTCAGTGGTGTTGAATGTGCCACTGAACACAACACTTCCAATTTTTGGTTATTGAAGGTTTCACTTCTAGAAGTTCTGTTTGGTTTTAATAAAATTAGTTGTGTCATTTTTGTAATTTTCTATTCCCTGATCTTCCCACCTAATTTTTTTCAACTTAATGTGTATGATTTTTTTCTTTTAAGAATCTGTGTCTGGTATTTCCAATATCTGGTGTCTTTGAGAGTCTCTTTCTGCTGTCTGTTGTTCCTGTTTCTTCTCATTCACGGCATCTGTACCTGGTTATCTTTGACTATGTGCTAGCTTTTGCACAAAAAATTATTTGAATAATTATTTGAAGACTAGGATGAAAGTGCCTTCCACTAAACAGGATTTGCTTTTACCTCTGGCATGTCTGGGATTACCATAAACTAAGTGTAATGCTTGAGGTTCCCTGGAAGGCCAAAGTGCAATTCAAGCTGCAAAGAGTTGTGAGGGCTCATCTACCTATAATTCACATTCCCCTTGAGACGTAGTCCCTTGGGATCTCATCTTACTTTGGGGAAGGTCTACCATTACACCTTGAGTAACCCTGGGTATTGATTTCTGTCTCCTTTGCCCCTGGTAGGCCACCAAACCAATTTTCAAATTTGCTGGACTTAGCAAATACTCTCAGTAAAAAGGTAGCTTTTGTACTCATTTATCTCTCTGGATTTCCATTTTCCCATCATTCTCTTCTTGATAATTCTTTCCTGTCATATCAACTCTTTGAAAGCCTTGAAAATTATCATTATTTAAAACCAGTTTTAAGTTGTTTTCAGATAATCTAGAGTTGGTCCAAATAACTTAGTCCACCATTACTGGAAATAGGAAGCCACAAAATGTCTTCCTTAGTACATGGCAAGCACCCAGTAAATGATGGCTGAATTAGTCGAATTATCATAATTTCCCAAATGTACTCCTTTTTCTGCTTGTCTGTATGTATAAAGACTGTTTCCTATTCTTAGAACTCACAGAATTCCCATATTCTACCATTTGACAAGGCTCAGAATACCACTTTTTCCTCAAATTTCTTCCTATTTTCTTAACTTCCCCAAATCTGAATCCTATTTCTTCCCTATCTAACCTCTCACAAGACCTAGTCTGTATCATTCTCCAAGTGCTTAACTAGATAGAAATATTTTAATATACTATTTATTTCTCCTGTAGATTTATACTTTCTTTACATTTCTGGGCATCTAAAGAATCCCCTCACTTCCTCTCCAGCTCAGCATATATTATAAACAGATTTTTTGTAAAACATTCTATCCAGTACTTTCAGGTGTGATGTCCCAGGAGGAGGGGATTCTCCAAACATTTATTCTGCCATATTGCTGGAAGCAGGATGTAGCCTATTCTAATACACTCTTACATTTGTACAGCACTTTAGAATTAATAGGGTGCTCTCATATACGTGCCTTCTACTTACTTCCATGTTGCTATCATCAGGTGCTTATGAGAATCAGAGGGCAAGAAAGACTAAATAATACACTTGAATAGAGCCACAAAGCCAGAAATGGAGCTCAAGTCTTCTTTCTTCAAGCCCAATGCTCATTCCAAGACATTTAGCTGCTTCCCCGTATTATTTGTGCCACTAGTCATTCCTACGCAAACAACCCCTCAAACTCTTTGGTAGAACACATGAAAGCATGGGTAGTACAGGAATTCAGTTGTAGGCAAGAGACAGAAGGGTTGGTCATGTGAGGTACCCCATATACAGCTATCAAATGAAGGTTTTCTGTATCTCAGTCCTCCTTACCTCACAACCTTGGTCCCATTTCTCACGACTTGCATGTCCACCATACAGCCTCCAGTAACATAGGCGGCTAGGTTCAACTCTGAGAATTCAGCCTGAAAGAAAAAGTAAAATAATAAAGATTCATCAAATACTAGTGGTGCCAGGCAGAGGGTATAGCTCAGTAGTGGAGTGAATGCTTAGCACACACGAAGTCCTGGGTTCAACCCCTAGTACCTCCATTAAACAAACAAACAAATAAACCTAACGACCTCCTCCCCAACAAAAAATAAGATAAAATAAAAAATTTAAGAAACAAACAAGCAAAACAATAAGTAAAAAAAAATTAATGATGCCGATAGCTTCTAACATTTACTGGGTACCTGTATGCGTCAAACACATATTTAAACCTCCTGAAACTTAGAAAATTAGTAATATTATTTATCTCCCTTTTTGAAATATGAGAAAGCTGAGGTGCAGAGAGGCATGGTGACATGTCCAAGGTTACATCACTACTACTTTCTACCCACTTGAAGGTAGAAGAAGCAACTCTAGCTCCAGGAATATAAAAGGCCAAATGCTGTTGGACATACCATTTTCTTCAGAGTTCTTCAGCTTCATGATATGCAGTGATATGGTATCACAGCTAGGGGATCACTTATCACTGTTAACAGAACCCTCCTCAAATTATCTGCCCATTGTCCCCTGTTATGGTCATGGCCCCTCCCCCTACTCCATCCACATAGTTACAATGGAAGTACCATGTTTGCACACTGAAATACTGTTCCCCTGGTCACAGCTGATGGGGTTGGCAGTGACTCAGGGTGGAGGAATAAGATGCTCTTTCATGAGAATTTGAAATTACAGCATGATTTGTGAGTTTCTTCTAGGGGGCAGTGTCTTCAAGACACAAACCTGGGCACAACTGGGGACCATGTTTTCTGCTACCTAGATTGGGGAAGCGTAGAAAACTGGGGCTGGGGGTAGGGGAAAGAGAGAGAGAAGAGGGATGGGGAAAAACTTCAAGGTTATCAAGAGAGGATTCAGAAGCAAGAGTTATAGGGAGTATTTTGATGTTTACTATAATTCTGTGCTTGAATTTTATTAGGCCTTCTGTATCCTTATAAGTTTACTTTTTGTTGGCTTATTTGTTTGAGCAAGGTTTCGTAAATTTCTGTTGCTCGTGATCAGAGTCTTATGGAATACATCCTCCCTACCAGATTATGTGCTCCCTAGGGATAGTGATTCCCTGTTACAACCATGTTTCCTAGGGTTGCCATAACAAAGTACCACTACTAGGAGGTTTAAATACAGAAAACTGTTTTCTCACAGTTCTGGAAGCTAGAAGTCCAAAATCAGGGTATGGGTAGGTTTGGTTCTTTCTGAGGGCTGTGCGGTAAGGATCTGTTCCATGCCTCTTTTCTTGGTTTGTAAATGGCCACCTTCTCCCTATATCTCATCACAATGTTTTTCCTCTGTGCATGTCTCTGTATATCAAGTTCCCCTTTTACCAGTTATACCAGATTAGGACCCACTCTGATGACCTCACTTTAACTTGATTACTTCTGTAAAGATTCTATCTCCAAACACCTATGTCCAAATAAGGTCACATTCTGAGGTACCGGGGCTTCAGCATAGAATTTTAGGGAGACACAATTCAACCTGTAACCCCACCCTAGAAAATGCATAGTACTAAACTGCCTCATTACACAGAAGCCAAAAGCCATTTCTTTGGATTTAATGAATAAAAATAACTGCTCACATACATGAAACACGATGTGCCAGATATTGTCCTAAGTTTTTTATATGTATGAATTTATTTAATCCTCGCACTTGTCCAGATGAAAAATCGAGGCAGAGAGAGATAAAATAACTTGCACGATGACACACAATGGGTAGCAGATCAAGGATTTAACCCCAGCCTGTGATTTTAACTGCTGCAATCCATTTTCCCCACTGTTGAGCTGAATAAGTCATTAGGTGGATTACAACTGGGAATTTTAGGGACATAAAAATAATCCACTTAAAGAGAAAAACAAGTCTACATTGAAGGGAAATGCCATTTCATGTCGATTTAAATGTAACCCCTTGGAATCATTTACCAAGAATTACAACCAATGACCTAGCCATCTCTCTGGATGGCATTCTCTTGCTCTAATTAATAATCTCATTATGCTGTGGTAAGGTGAAAAGCAAAGGGCCCAGTTAATGAGGCAGGTTAGTAAACTGTGGTAATAACCTAGTTATTAAATGTAATGCCTTAAAAATTCAATCCCATCATATTTAAGATACTTCATTGGAGAGATTACAAAGAAAAATTAGCAAGAAAAGTTGTTGCTCGCCTGTGTGGAGAAAAAGAAGTTAGAAGTTGCAACATAGGATAGCAAATATATGAAAAAAGAGAGTGAATCACAATCTTGGGTGGTAGAATCTCCGACTCATAGGTGGCAAAGACCCAGAGGCTGTCTTGCTGCTCAAATGGAAAAACACCTGGATAAAGACACCCTCAGGCTTTTTGGATACACAAAGTAGAAGTTCATCTTGTTCAGATCTGGGTGTCTACAGTTGTTTCCTAGTCATGATTTATGAGTAATTGCAGGAGTTATAGGGCACCAAGCTTCCGTTGGGTCAAGCACTGGGATTGGAGTAGCAAAGAAAAGTCATTCTTCTGTATTTAACTGTCTAAAAATTTCAACAACCATGGAAATGAACACAGAGGTATTCAAACACCTCTCCTTCAAGATAGCATGATGACCCTCCTGGTAGAATCCTAAAGACCAGCCAGTTTTGAAGACACTCAGAGCTCTCACAGAAACTATAGTGGGTTGAATTGTATCCCCCAGAAGATATGTCCAAGTCCCAACCCTTGATCATAGGTATCAAACCTATGAATGTGACCTTCTGTGGAAATAGGGTCTTTGCAAGTACAATTAAGGCTCACAGATGAGATTATCCTGAATTAGGGTGGGCCCTAAATCCAATGACATGTCCTTACAAAAGGAGAGACAGAAAAACACAGGAAAGAAGCCATGTGAAGACGGAGGCAGAGGTTGGAGTTTAACTGCCAAAAGCCAAGGAACAACAGGAGTCACTAGAAACTGGAAGAGGCAAGGAAGGAGCCTCCCTTAGAGGCTTCAGAGGAATCATGTTTGTTGCATGACACAACGGGGCGGTGGGTCCGTGAGCCAGTGACACGCGGTTTGGTAAAAGAATTCACCAGAGATTAAGTATAAGAATAGAGAGGAGTTTATTAGAGTATACTGTCATAGACAACAGTGGGCCACACAGGCGAGGGGTGACTGCATGAGCACTGAGGGCCGGTTGTTGGGGTGTTTTATGAGGTCGGGTCACAAGGTGCCTGATCAACTTGTGCACAAGTCTCTGATTGTTTGTAGGTGAGTTAGGAGGTTTAGAGTCAGTAAAGGATGGTGGGGTTTGACTCTGATAAGGTGGGCTGAAGTAAACCTGAGCTATTGTGAGATTAGGCATTACCAAGGGCTATTAGTTTGTTAGGGGAAACATGCCTGGTAAAGAATGTATTTTATCTGTTGAGGGATCACAGGCAGACATCTGAGAGCCCAGAAATGGGGGCTGTTGGACTTTGCAGGATGTCAGTTGGCCCAATGATGTTGACACCTTGATTTCAGATTTCTGGCCTCTAGAACTGTGAGAGAATAAAATTCTATTGTTTAAAGTCAATAAGTTGTGGTAATTTGTTACGACAGTCCTAGGAAACTAGTGATTTGGGGAATTGGATGCAATTTCAGTATTGCATGCAAAGGCATCAGGGTCCAAAGAAGGTCATCATGGTTTAGGTAAGGTTCCTTTATTTACTTCGCCAAAAACACACTTATATGCATATAAATACTACCCCTCCCCTCTACACAGGCAAAGTAACACATGGGCTATTCACCTATATTGTAAAACACTATTTATCAGAGTTGAGACAGGAGGGAAGGAGGCAGGGCATAGCCACTCAAAGAATGACAGCAATTTAACACCAAAATGGTGGAAGATTCAACTCCCAGTTGGCCTTAAGGATTAAGAGGTTTAACTTCTAGTAGACCTTGAGCTTCATCATATGCTCATTGTAACAGTGTGTTAAATAACATGCCCGCAGGTGCCATGACAGTCCCAAGGCTAACTGCAAAAGGCCAAAGAATGGACGGTGGCCCAATTCCTGGCAATCTCAGTTGGAAAGGTCCCACCTGTAGGCATGTGAAGCTGCTGAGCCCATAAAAACTGACAACACCATGTCTAGTGCTCCCTTTTTGCTCCCTCCTCTTCAGAGAAGGCCTGTACTCTTGTCTATGGAGTGTGTACCTACTTTTACTTTAATCTGAGCACCCAATTCCCACACCTCTTTCCTTGCCTTTCTCTTGCTTTACACTCTATGCAGTATGTATCTCTCTAAATAAATCTATCTTTACTCAGTGGTGGCTCGCACTTAAATTCTTTCCTGCATGAAGCCAAGGACCCACACCTGGTGGGGCACATCCCAGCAGCTCAGCCGAGACCTGGGACATGGCCCTCCTCACGCCCTACACCCGTTTTCCTGCATCAGAGTCACTTAAATTTTCTGCATAAGTTAACTTTTTAACCTCAAAAACATTTGGCCCCAACTGTTTCTGATGTGATGTCTCCTTAAATACTACACATTAGGCATTGTGGTACAGATAAACAAATATTCAAAGAAACTACATTTAAATGTAAGCTGTTCAATATAATAGCTGATGAGTTTGGTCAAGTTACTAACAACCTTGAATCTCAGTTTTGACATCTCTGTAATGGGTATAATAATATCAGTAATATCTATCTTTAAATTTTTTGGGTAAAGATTCAAGATAATATATATGAAACATCTATCACAAGGCTGAGACATACATAGAAGGAGGATCTCTGAAAACAGCTGTCATTATTATGTTCAAATATTTCATTGTTTCAGTGAGAGTAAACCAAATGCATAAAAATGGTGTAACCAGAAAAAGAGCGACCCCTTCAAATAATTATAACACAAGCAATTTTTAAAATATTGAGGTGTGATATATAAAGTGTAAGGCTTCTGCTTAATGGCCACAAAGAAGTAACAGAGACTACCTTAAACAATCAGAAATCC